TAGGGAATTGAAGACTGTCTTTGTCATGGAAAAACAAAAAAGGACCATCGATTTCTCCTTTGCGCTGAATGCAACTTGGCATCTGCCAGTCTGAGTTGGAAAAGTCCTCTGGCAGTAATTCACACAGCATGTGAGTCTGCTGGACTAAACAAGACTAAGTGATATGCTTGTGAGCTGATGCAAAGAATCTCACTACAGATGCATAAGCAATTGCTGCTCAGCAAGAACTGAAGGCACTTAGGAGGCTCTGAAACAAATAATAAAGAAAGGCAGAACAGAACAAGATAGGATGTCAGCTATATTTTCCCAGTATAACAGAAAATAGTCTGGACTCAGGGTTTTTTTTTAAAATTACACCTTGTATTAGTTTTCCTTCCTCCCTTCCTTCCTTGACAGAGTGATCGAAAGGTCAAGAACTAATGTTCTACAATAGAAACTCTTGTATCAAAATAGTCCACTTCCCTAATATGATACTCTCTTCAAATGCCTTGGGATTGCATCTCCTAGAATTCTTAGCAAGCCAACATGGTTACTGATACAGGAGGAAATATCATATCTGGATTGCAAAAGTTTGGCCTGCAAAAAAACTCACCACAAAACAGGACAAAGCACTTTCTGCATCTTTTTGCTTCCATCTAGTGGATATCTAGATTTTTGCACCTGCGATATGATAATCCTACTTATTCACATCTTTATGTATCTTTCAAGCCCAGTCCATAAGCCTCAATAGGATCACTGGCTTGTCTATTCTCTCTCTGATTAAAACTGCATTTCAGTATCTCAATCTTCCATTAGAGGGCATGAAAGAGCTGCATGATGGGTTCCAAAGCCCCAGTTCCCTTAGCTATCTACTGGCTTAATAACCAAGAGAATGGCCCAGTCAATCTCAAATTCCCCAAGGGAATGATCACATGAGTCCTGAAACAAGAATGCCCCTTAATCACATGTTTACATACTCTCTCATCCATCTCTATTTTAGCAGCTAAGGTCCTATCTGCAGATTACTATTAACAATAAGGAACAGGCAAGATCAACTTGGTCCATTGCCCTGCCTAACTCAGGTGACCTTCAGTCACATCACCTGACCTCAGTTCCCCCCTCCACTATAGGAATTCGTAAAACTCCAAAATGCAGAAAGTGTTTTCTCTGGGCAAGTGTCCCTGCAAAGAAAAGAAAAAGAAACCCTTGTATGTTCTGAAGCAGCACCAAGCATAGTTTGCTTCCTTCCTACCCATCCAGGATACCTGGGCAAGGCATCTGAGGAATGCAGACACTTGCTTTGATGTTAGTTGATTATCTGTAAAGCTGCACTAACAAAGGGGGGGGGAGGGATAACATTTAATCATGTCATTCCAGAATCGTTAAAATATACATATATTTCACAAAAACTGGAAGGTGAGCTTCCTCTCCCATCTTCTCCCCAAGCTTTTCATAACTACATTTGTAATTAAGAGATCTGCATATTCTGAAAGCCTGCAGATCTACACATTTTTATAATCTCCAAAATACTTAACAAAAAACAGTAAAATCTTCTTCAAGTCAAGCTTGACTCTCAGCAATTTCATGGACACATCCATATAGTTTTGTTGAAAGCAATTTTGAAGTGGGTTGCCTTTGTCTTTGACCTCCCAGTCTAGCCTGCAGTCCTAGGATTTAATGGAGGTCTCCCATCTGTATATTAACCACAGCTGACACTGCTTAACTTTCAAGATCAGCATAGTATTGCTCTAATAAAGATACCATTACCAACCATAATAAATGATTTTGGAATTGGGAATTGGTCTATGTTCAAAATGCAATTGTTTTCATTGTTTCTGTTGTTTAATAGCAATAACAATAATTTGGGATTATGAGATTTTGGAATGAAGGTATTTAACTCTTGAAATGGAGATGGAAATATTCATTTTCATTCTTCAGGTCTTAAAAATAGCACTGAGTTAGATACATTCATAGAGTCCAACTCCATTTGCACAATGGAGCTTTCTCATCATCTCTCCTCACTTGCACATCATATTTCTACAGTCTGAGGAACCTTGTAGAGTAGTGTTGGACGAAGCACTTGAGTGACTGTGTCACAAGGAAGAATGTTTCTCTGTTCTTTCAAAACCTCAATTTCTAAGCAATCATATTTGTCATATTAGAAACTAGATTTTTTGCACTTATCTCCAAAGAGGCTTTTATAAGGTCCCAGCTTCTTTTGATCAGTCATTTAAAAAGCCCAGAACTAATTTATTTACTAAATACACCCCTTTTGACCTCCTTTCCCAACTTCACAGAGATTCCAGGCCACAGTCCAACAGCCATTCGAAAAACACATTGCCTGTCAAAGCCAAACAGGATCATGTCAGAGCTGTGTGCAAACTGTACAAATGCCGAATCAATCCTTGAGAAAACAGCTTGAGCCATGTGCTATAATTGCACTGCTGGACCTATAAAAACATCACACACCAAATGCTTCATCTAAATCTCCTTATGAAATTTCTGCTTCATGGCTGCTTTTACTCCCGCTGGTAATAACCCACAAGGAGTCAATGGGTCAGCCACAAACAGGCTGCAGGGGAGGAGGAACATTTCAATATGTACAGGCCTTGAAACAGAAGGAGTTGGCAACAAGGATGCTTTGATTTCTGCCTCATCAAATTGATGTGCAACTGAAAGCAAGAATTTGACCTTCTATCAAATCAAGAAAATTCTGTGGACCAGGGTGCTTCAGATACTAAGATCCCAATATATTTCTCATATTTCCCCATTCCCACTTGTCTTCCTCAATCGTGCTATCAGTATATCTGCAGACTCTGAAGCGGCTGGACTTTATATGAAATGGCAGGGCTATGGGTTGTAAATGAGTGCAATTAAGTTAGCTGCATGAATGACATTGCCTGGGTCCCAACCATACAGTTTGTTCATTTCTTGCATTTTTCATCTAATTCTTGTATTCTTCCTGAATCCTTCTGGCTGACAGTGTAAGGACAAAACCCACAATTCATACAGGGTTTTTCACTCTAAAGATGTAGGCTGTTGACAAACAGGCCCAAGGAAATGAGTTACACACAGCAGCTTAAACAATTTGCCACAGTGGCTCAGTAAACTACAGCTGTATGCCATACAATGATTTAAATGCTCTGCACAGAATCTTCAGTGAGTGCAAGCTGCTAGTTCTGTAGTTCCAAGACAGTCTGACAACTGCTTTGGAGGATATATAGGGCATACCCAACAGAGCCACAATTTTTAGTTATTAAATTTGGGTTGTGTCCTCGTAACTTCTGACAAACCTCCTGACTCAGTTTCAAAAGTGCTAAGTGTGAAGCAAACTTGCCCAGTCTAGTCCTCTTTTTTTAGGTCTTCACTAACAGTCCTCACAAAATTAGTGATTCCTTATCTTAGATAATATTTTCTTAAATGCTTGCTTTGCCCTTCCACAGCTGGGTATAAGTACTGATGCATTCTTTTATGACTAAGAACTTTAATTAAAGAACAATGACCAACCCCCCCCCTCCCACTTCCCACAAAGATTCTGATCTCATGTTTTCTACCTACTCCTAGATTGGATGAATCTCATCTAGAATAAAATCCAAAAGTTCCAGTAAATCAAAAAGTGACTACAGTTAGTCCTCGTTTAATGACCCCAATTGGGAATGGCAACTTGGTTAAGAGAAGCAGTCACTAAGTGACAATTTTACCATTTTACTTTAGCTTTAGTTTGCTTTACAGACTTGGAAAGGTCGTAAATGAGAGGACTGGTTGCAAAGTTCATCACCAACATAACTTTGAATGGTTGCTAAATGAGTCAGTCAGTAAATGAGGATTACTTGTATTAAGCGACACCACTCTCTTGCCTATGCTGGAGAATAATTAAATTAAGCATGGCTGTTTGGCCTGTGCAGAAACCAGGTAGACAGAGTTCCAGATAACAGAGGTCACCACAGCCAACAACCTCATAAAGTAACTGAGTGAATTATAATCTGTTGTGATCATTTCATTTCCAGGGGCAAGGTCACTGGCCAAGAAAGGAGAAAAAGTAAAATCATATGCTGTATTTTTAATCTGGAATGTTAACCCATCTTTATGCTATGCCACATGGAAATAACACCAAGGGGGACCAAAAATAACCCAAAAATCCAACTCCAGAACAACAACAACAAAACCCTAACATGTTCAAGAACATAGATAGGAAGGATGTTTTGAATTAGAGCTGCACTGCCCTGAACTTGAACTGATGCAATTCACATGGATTTTAGAACTAAGAGGAAGTCTTCCGTGTTTTTTCAACCATTTTCCCCCTTGCTGTTTGTTGGCTGCTTTTGACAGATCAACATCATCCCGAGCATTACATATCCTGCAGCTTCTGAGTCTTTTTTCCAAATGGACAGCTACTTCTCTTTTCTCTTAATCTTATGATTAGGACCAAGATGTTCTTTAGGCCTAATCATAACTATGGGACCCATGATCATTACAGTGTAGGCCTTTGCTTTAGAGTGTGAAAAGTGAACATTAAATACAACTGGCTCACTTTAGGCAAAGAGCTAAAGTAAAGGCATGTTTTCCAGAAGCTATTGCACACCCAGGCTATATGTGTATGCATGTGTATGTGTATGGAGAGAGAGAGCAAGAGGCAGTCTCAGCTTAAGAGAGGCTGAAACCAGCTATTTCTATCTTTGTGTTAACAACCACTATATTTTAAGAGATTTCAAAAAGAATCACAACTGGAGAGGTACAGGATCTTAGCAGGAAAGTGCATGCTTCATGAGCATGAAGTCCCAGTCCCTGGAATCACCAATTTAAAAAAACAAGTTATTGGCAATGGGAAAAAATGTTGCTTGCTTTAGATCCTGGGGAGAACTTCTAGTCAACAATAAGCCATTTCTGGCTTAACCGACAGATCACTGGTCCTGATAAAAGGCAGCTTCCTACATTCCTGTTATCATAACCTTGGAACAGTGTTTGTAAAATCAGATTAGGAGACTCTGTACCTTAAAGTGCCTCTTGGCTGCTACACTTACCTGATCACAGATCAGCTCCCATTTCTTCTCATTGTCATATTGCCGGAGTAGCCTTGCTTTGTCGGGAGGCAAGTTCATGGCATTCTGTGAAGAAAGAGAAAGCAAATCTGGGTGACCACAACAGGCTGAAGGTTAAGAGAGCTACATATGAATAAGCATAAATAAGCATAACAATATGGTTGCAGTTATGTGATTTTTTGCCCCCAAATTCATGGCTAACAGAGTTTATCCAAAGCATTCCAGGAAAAAGAAATTGCCAAGGAGCAATGAAAGAAACAAGATACCTTCTTCTCCCCATCCTCCAATCTAAAATGTGATTCAAGTTGAACACTGTCAAGGTTGAGAGGTTTTTCATGTGGGATAAAACTAGAGAAGGAAGTTGTGGGTAATTCAAGGAAAGTTGCTTTTGCTTCTCTCCTATCATATATTACTGCTACGTAAAATGCCCAATGACAAATGCATGCCGTTATCTAGCTAGAGGTGGACTGAAATCCATGTACAACTCATAGTTCATTAAAGCAGCGTAAGACCTTGTTCACCACCAATGTATATAACATCTAAAAAGGGAACCACATAAATCTGCTGCAGCAAAAGAAGAAGAAGGCTTGTAGTAGCTCAGAAGTAAACAGATTTGCTAGGACATACTTCTGTGGACAACATTCTGCTTCATATTTTAGCCAATAAATTAGTCCTCCAAATGGGATCCATCTCAATAGCTCCTTATCAAAGATATCAAAGTTGAAAATTTAATAAAAATACACAGCGATGTGTACAATTGCTTAAGATAACATACAAAGAACATTATAGAATACATGGAAGAACAAGTGTTGTTAAAGGGGGCTATATTCCAGAGAGTTCCAAAATAAAACTGCATCAGAGAAGGACAAACCTTGTTCTTTTCTAGTCAAAACAAAAACCTATCATACTAAAGAAAGAGAAACAATACAGAAACATGAGACTTGATACATAAAGTGTTGGAATCTGCACACACACTTCCACAATGGAATTTCACAAAAATTTCAATTGCACATATCAAGTCAGTAGGACAGTTGGTCAGACAGCCATTCCTTCATATATAGTTACTACTGTATTTAATTTACAGGAAGGAATGAGAATTGGAGAATACAATCAAGTAGGGCTATATAAAATTTCGCACAGTTCACTGAATACAGGTAGAAAAGATTCTCCCTACTTTCTTAATATTACATGAATATTAAATACTAAAGACAATTGTCAGAATTTGTTATTAGAACTAGGCGTGAATGAAATAGGGTGGCAGATTAGGAAAGGAAACACAAAGCTTGCTCTATCTATCTATCTATCTATCTATCTATCTATCTATCTATCTATCTATCTATCATCTATCTATATCCATCAGGAACTCCAGATTCTGAAGAGTGTTCTGTTTAAATACCTTGTCCTGGGAAGATAACAGGGCTGGTCTATTTTTTTCAAATCTTATTCATGAATTCCATTAAATCTTTAATTGGTTCCTGCTACGTTTTTATACTGAACCAACAAACTCAGTTGTAGTTCTGGAACCTGTTGATTCAAGGATGAAACCTGATGCTCTCCAGATGTTAGCCAGATACAGAGAAGGTGTAGTTCGAAACATTTTGAGGGTACTAAGGTAAGTATTCCGATCTAAGAACATGACATACGCTATATTCAGCAGTGCACAGAATTAAGGCCTTTACATTTCAGGAACTCACTAAATGTATACTTTTCCTTTCCTATATAGCTCAGGCTACTGTTCTTAAAAGTACACATAAACCCAGCCAGGTAAAATTAGGACAAAAATTCCAAAGAAAGATCTTATTACTGTATATATTGCGGATAAACTGACCTGCGAATTTTTAACCAAAATACCATGATGTACCACCTGTGGATAAGCCGACCCTCAAAATTTTCTTATGTGCTTATCCATAGGTGGCACATTTTTAATGGTATTTTGGTTTAAAAAACGAGGGTCAAGTTATCTGCAGATGGGCTTATACATGAGTATATATGGAATATATGGGTACTTTTTAAAAGCCGAGGGAAAAACCTACTGTATATACTCATGAATAAGCTCATCCATGGATAAGCCAAACCCAATTTTCTGGGGTGTATTTTGGCACCTAAAATTCTTGGCTTATCTGCAAGCATATATTATGGTATATAACTTCAAACATTCTTGAAACAAATGCTGTCTTCAAATAAAATATTGGTAATTATGATAGACAGGGAGCATGCGATCTTTATTTCTCTATTAATCATATTATTTCTTCTCCTGCTGTTCTGGCAAAGGAATAACTGTGGGCCTACATTTAAAATCTCACCAAAGAAAGATATATATTAAAAATGGGAATATATTAGTCTATTGTAAGAAGAGGACTACTTTCTGATTTTGAAAGGTCACCATATACAAACTGAGGTTAACAATTTAGATCCTTGGCTTCTAATCTATTGTCCCTAATGATATGGCTCTTCTCATAGGAAAGCAGCACAATGCATGTAAAATATTCGCTGACAAGACTCACTAATAAAATATTTAAAAGGACAGAAAATAGGTTTGCCAATGACAGTAGGAAAAAGTGCCCACTCACAATCAATACATTTAGAGTAGCTCCCCACTCTGTAATTCACACATAGACTCTACAACCCCTCGTGTCAGTTCTGCCCTCCCCATCTTTGATAATACTGGATTCTGGCAGAAATATAGCCACTCCAGATGCAGAGTCTTCTGTGTGGTTATGATCAGGGCTCTGAAGTTGGCACATAAAACCTTTGACTCTAACTCCTTTAATTATATATTGATATAGGAAATAAATTATAAATATACTAATCATGTATTTCCTATATTGACTGCAAGCATGCAACATACAAGGCATTTCACCACTGCCAACATGAATCAGCAGGCAACTTTTTAGAATCCTAACCTGTTAAAGCTTGGGTCTAAAGGCTATAGCTAAGACATTCTGCTTTTTTTTTTTAAATGTTATTTATTAAAGGAATTACAAACATTCAGTAACCTTATAGTTTAAACAAAGGATAAAAACTAAAAAATAAAAACAATGAGGCTATATTTTGATCAAAATATATATTTTGAAATTTACAGAGAACTTGAAATTAAGATATATCCTGAAAAAAATAGGTTAATCAAATTATTATCTATGAAATAGGAAATTTTAATATATTGTATTATTTATATTATATACAATTTAAACTTATTAGGAGTCAGCGTCAGTACATTTTTACTGACTCCGACTCCAATAACCCAAGAATTGCTTCCGACTCCAACTCCATGACTCCAACTCCACAGCCCTGGTTATGATGCCTTCTTTTTCCTGATTTATCTGAAAATGGATGGCTTCCTGGCCTGTCAGCATATTCTGCTAGTACTGAAAGAAGGTTATAGGACTGCATCACTGTGTCAGGAGTCACAGAAGTTTTGCTTTGTTACGCCAGTAGTGGGGAACTCCTAGCCCTGAACTATAACCTCAGCTGGCATGGCTAATGGTCAGCTATGCTGGAGCTGTAGTTCATCACATCCAGTTTCCCATTCTAACATTAGGCCATCACTTTTAGAACCTGGCACTTTCCAGATGTAAAAAAACAACAACACCTACCCTCACCCAGCAACAGAGCTAAGGATCTGTCTCATGGGGAAATTACAATGGGAACTGCAGTGTAGGTAAGAGTTCAAGGGGCCACAACTGCCACACAGGACCCATCAAACATTGCCACTCAACTCACTTCAGAACAGAAGTACACTAGGATAACAGCCCCTGATATTACAAACAGCAGTTCACTTGAAGCTAGAAAGGCCAAAGCCAACATTTTGAAATAAATCTCCAATCCTCTGCAATGTGGAAATCAGGGAATGTATGGCACATAGGCAGAAATTTTAGGCAGACATAAATATATGTTGATATATTCTGCTTTATGACAAGATATAATCTCACTTCTGAGAAACTGATTCCTCATCTGTGATTTTCTGGTACAGAATATTAGCTTAAAATTTGTTAACATGCCAACCACCATATCAAACAGAAGCTAACACTCCAGGTGCCTCATAAAATTTGAGCGCCAATAAAACTAGTATTTACTTAGCAATTTCATTTTACTGATTTAAACCAAATGACACATGCTCTGAAATGAATGTGTTCAAGTGAGGAATAGCATTTTTAACCTGCTTTTCATCTAGGATATCAAGGTGGTACAACAGGTGTACAGTCCAAAATTGACTGAAATAAAGTATATAACAAGCCATAAAACAACTTTATGCTAATAACAACAGAGATCAAAAAGCCAAACCACAACAACAATCAACCCATCTTTCATATTTTTATCCTTTCTTACCAAGTTTGCAAACTTCTAATGTGGTTTACTGCTTGGGGGCGGGGGCAGTGAGAAATCTCCTTGGTTGAGTATTAGAGTAGCGACTCTATTATAACATTCCTGGAATTTCCAGAGTGGTGAAATTCCACAGTGACAGAATTAAAGTGATGCAAGACGAATTATGAGTAATGAGCCTCCAAAGTCTTGTTAGCAATTTAAGCCGATACAGGACTACAATTGTCTTTGTGTAATACTTAGGTTAAAAGTTGGGAGAGGAATAGACATGCTGGCAGTTCTTATAAACCATCAAGAATCTTTCAAAAATTATTCTACCATTCTTCTACTTGGCCAGGAACAAGCAGTATTTTTTCAGGGAACCCCTTGTTTCAGATTTTCAGTTAGTAATGGATGGATTCCTTATAGTGTTTATGAAAGCACCAGCAACTTGGAATTTTTTCCCCCGTCTTTTACTTTCTACTATCCCAGCATTGCTTTCTTAATCTCTTTACCACATGTCTATTCCTTTGATTTTTACCAGGAAAGTCTTGCACCTCTTTCTGCCGACGATAAATGATTCATATTTTAGCCTGAAGACATCTGTGACTTGTCCTCCTTCCTGTAAGTAAACTGCTTGGAATTGGGTAACACTGGGAGTCATACTGTACTAAACTGAAATCATCTTGATCTAAAAGATAAACGGGCAGCATCCAGCAAAGCTTTCTCTTTGCCTCACTGAAAAGAATAAAAGTGACAAG